CGTGTTCTCTCTCTCTCTCTCTCTCTCTCTCTCTCTCTCTCTCTCTCTCTCTCAGTCTGGGTCAGGACGCCCTGACATTGGATCATGGTGACTTTATGAGGTTGCAAATTGGACACCCTACAAAAATCCGCGATTTTTTCTTCCTCTCGGGAAACTGGAAACTCTTGTAAATGATTTGAGCTCGGTCTTGTTCTGTGGTAATCATATTTACTGACCACGGAGAGAGAGGTTGATTGTCTGATGAGTCACTGACATCAAATCAGCTTATATGAGCTGACTTCAGGCTCCACAGTCAGAGTGGCACACTTTGTGTGCAATCAAAATCACCTCCTCAAATAAGCTCTACTACACAAGTAATTCACATGTCCTTTTTCATTTTTCATAACAAATTATCTTCATTTTATTAAAGGTCATGGGGAATTCATATACAGGACACCTTCAGAGCACACGGTTTGAGGAGGTGCTGCACAACTCCATAGAGGCGTCACTGCGCTCCAATACAGTGGTGCCCAGACCTGTGTTCTCTCAGCTGTACCTGGAAGCAGAGCAAAGGTCTTATTCTCATGATGGTGAGCTTTTACTCTGCCTTCTGTGGTATCACACCTTGTGTAATGAATTACTTTTTTTGTTTTAAGTATCTTATATGTCCCCTAACCAGACATGTGGTGACAGCATCAAGTCATGCAAGCTCTTCCATGTTTAAATTTTTTAATTTAAATTTGTATTTATTTTATTATTTATTTTAATAGGCCTATATTATTATTATTATTATTTTATGTTTTTTTAATTTTAAATAATTATTTACAGGTCGAGGGGATGAGGATGACGATGAAGAGGATGGCTCAGATTCAAACAGCCCTCCGATCCCATATCAGATGAAGCCTCCACCAGACGGATGCTGTACTACAGATGGTGAGATCAGATGAGCCATATGTAACAACAGATAAATATTGACTATTTTAGCTGCAAGTCAGTACATTTATAGCCAGACTATGTGATTCAGTACGGTCATAAAGTCCGTACAAACTGATACAAACTTGTGCATTTCAGGGTTCTGTCAGGCAGGCAAAGACCTTCGGCTCTCATCCATGGCCACCGAGTCTTTGGAAGTCCCTCCTGGGTTTCTACTCATCGGAGCGAAATCTCCCAGCGTGCCTGATCACATTCTGGTGTGTGCGGTGGACCTGCGCTTTCTCCCCGATGAATGTGGACGTAATGCACTTTTAGGTAAGACACACTGAACCTGATGCACCAGTATTTTAATTCCCTGCATTGCAAAAAAAAAAGAGCCAGACTGAGAAAGAGAGGTATAAAATGGCAAAGCTCTGATTTGGGTCAGGGTACCCCAACCTCGAGAGACCACATTTCCATTAGTCAGAGAGACATTTGTGGGTCTATAATTTGGGTTTCTATGACCCTCATATAAGCAGCTTGATAGAAAGACAGTTAGAGAAAAAACACATAGCATGGCATTGCTAGATTGTTGCCAGGCAGTTGCTAGGGTATTCTGCATAGTTGCTAGGTGGTTAATAGGGTGTTCTAGACAGTTACAAAGGCATATCTAGAGGGTTGTTAGATTGTTTTAGGTGTTTTTATAGAGTGTTCGAGGTGGTTGCTAAGGCATTGCTAGATGGTTGTTAAGGTGTTCTAGGTAGTTGCTAGACAGAGTTACTAGATAGACAGACATTAGGTGGTTGGTGGGTTGTTCTGGGCGGTTACTAAATAGTTGTTACTAGTGTTGTTAAAAATATAGATTTTTCATTACTTAATGATACTGGAACATCTCAAACAGTTTCAGTACTCTTTATTCACAGTATCGATACACTGATATCTGCCGCAATCTCTCTGACAGCCAGTTCATGCACACTGCAAATGCACACCGAACACATACCAAAAATGGTATCGAATATCAATATTTTTCAAGGTATCGTTATCGTATCAAAGTTCCAGAAATTCTAGTATCATGACAACATTAGTTGTTACAATGTTCTAAGTCAGGGGTGCCCAATCCTGCTCCTGGCGATCGACTGTCCTGCAAAATTCAGCTCCAACCCTAATCAAACACACCTAAAGCAACTAATTATGGTCTTCAGGACCACTTGAAAATTAAAGGCAGGTGTGTTTAATTAGAGTTGGAGCTGAACTTTGCAGGACAGTCGATCGCCAGGAGCAGGATTGGGCACCCCTGTTCTAAGTGGTTGTTAGAGTGTTGTTGTTGGTTTGCTAGACAGAGAGTAATCGAAAGAAGAACAGACAAACTGATATGTTTGTTGCTATGCAGTTTCTAGATCATTCAAAGTGGTTTCTAGGCAGTGTATAGAGACAGAGCAACATGCTGCATAATCTGAAAACCACGCCCACCAGGGGGTAAAACAATCCAACGCTCTCCATTGACTTTGTATTGCGGGAAGCTGCCTCCTTGTCATTTCTGACTTATAATAAAAAACAGAGCAATGTCTAAAAGTTCCTACAGTGGGGAATATATTTATTTGCTCCCCTGCTGATTTAGTAAGTTTGCCCACTTTCAAAGAACTGAAGGGTCTGTAATTTTTATGGTAGGTTTATTTTACCGTATAGAGACCGAATACCAACCAAAAAATCCAGAAAAAACATATTATATAAAGGTTAGAAATTGATTTGCATTTCAGTGAGTGAAATAAGTATTTGATCCCCAAGCAAAACATGACTTAGTACTTGGTGCAGAAACCCTTGTTGGCAAGCACAGAAGTAAGACGTTTTTTGTAGTTGGTCACCAGGTTTGCACACATCTCAGGAGGGATTTTGATCCACCCCTCTTTACAGCTCCTCTCTAAATCCTTAAGGTTTCTTGGCTGTCGTTTGGCAACTCGTTTCAGCTCCCTCCACAGATTTTTCTATAGGATTGAGGTCTGGAGACTGGCTAGGCCACTCCATGACCTTAATGTGCTTCTTCTTGAGCCACTCCTTTGTTGCCTTGGCGGTATGTTTCAGGTCATTGTCATGCTGGAAGACAATGCTGTGTTCTGGCTGAGGGAAGGAGGTTCTCGTCCAAGATTTTACAGTACATGGCCCCGTCCATTTGCCCCTCAATGCAGTGAAATCATCCTGTACCCTTAGCAGAAAAACAGCCCCAAATCATAATGTTTCCACCTCCGTGCTTGACTGTAGGGAAGGTGTTCTTGGGGTCATAGTCAGCATTTCTCTCCCTCCGAACACGGCGAGTCGAGTTAATGCCAAAGAGCTAAATTTTGGTCTCATCTGACTACAGCCCTTTCTCCCAAGCCTTCTCTGAATCATTTAGATGTTCTCTGGCAAACTTTAAACAGGCCTGTACATGTGCCTTCTTGAGCAGGGGGACCTTGCGGGCGCTGCAGGATTTCAGTCCATTGCAGCGTAGTGTTTTCCAATGTTTTGCTTGGTGACTGTGGTCCCAACTGCCTTAAGATCATTAACAAGCTCCTCCCATGTTGTTCGGGGCTGATCCCTCACCTTTCTCATGATCATCCTTTCCCCATGAGGCAAGATCTTGCAACTAACCTTTCTAACCTTTTATATAATGTGTTATTTTTTTGGTTGATATTCTGTCTCTATCCGTTAAAATAAACCTACCATAAAAATTACAGACCCTTCATTTCTTTTTAAGTGGGCAAACTTACAAAATCAGCAGGGGATCAAATAAATATTTTCCCCACTGTATGTGACAAGGTGTACAGTAAACAAGCTAAAAAACCCAGAACTACGTTTTTATAAGCTGTCAACCCAAAAGACGAGCGTTTAAGGACACAAATAGTTGTAGATGTTGGGGTATTTCACGTTTTTTATTTCAAAAGCCATGTAAAAATATTTTCTCCACAAATGTGGAAAACGGCAATAACGGCATTTACCTGTTGTCTGCAGAGTTGTGTTCTTTTCTCAGCCTCGATGATAACAGTACAAGTTGTCATAGGAGATTTAGTCAAATTTTCATGCTCTTTCAATCGTGTAAATTGTGCGTTTACATTCCATCTCCGTTATTACGAAACCCACGACACACAACAAAAACCGATCTGATCACTATGTCCTCCATTCACCGGTTGTTGACGTTTATTAATGCCATGCATAAAGACGTCCCTGTGGGGCACTTCAGAGTTCCTGCTGCCAGTGTGAATGCAACCAGGAAAATGGCACGAGGGAGAAATTGGTTCTCTAGGAATGAACGTGCTGGCTAGTTCCTAGAACTACGCGGTGCGAAAGCCTCTTTTGGCTGCAATATCATAGAAATATACAGAGCTACTGCAGAAACAGAAGTTCAAAGACAACATTCTAAAGATGGCTCCGGGCTTGATTCTCTGGTGCATAAGGTGTATTGCAACAAAAAAAGAGCAAGAGATCTAGAGAGAGAGGTAGAAATGGAAAAAAGCCCTAAGCACAGGGCCAGTTCCAGGGTCAGGGTACCCTAACCTCGTGGGACCACATTTTCATTTGTCAGAGAGACATTTTAAGCTCTTTAATTTGGGATTCTATGGACCACAATTCAGCTCAGCACCCTTGCCCCTGAGGATGGCTTGTGGCTATGGAAACAGAGCACTCAGCTGGTTACTGTCTGTACTATGTCTCTATTTTAGAGAACTGTTCTTGGTCTTCAAGGAATGTAGACAACATCTGGGCACACAAAGACATACATAAAAGAAAGCAGATATTCACCTGATGTCTTGTCTGTTGTAGGTTTCTCAGGGAACTGCATGGGCTGTGGAGAGAAGGGCTTCCGCTACTTCACTGAGTTTGCCAATCACATCAACCTGAAGCTCACCACACAGCCTAAGAAGCAGAAGCACTTAAAGTACCACCTGCTCAGAAATGCACAGGGCATTCTGGTCAAGGGACCACCAATCTGCTGGAAAGGAATGGGTAAGATCGCACTAGGCTTGCCGCGATAGACGGTGCTGACGGTGATACCGGTGTTAAGCCACAACACTGGTTACGTCACTTGCCCACCACGTCACCAACCCCAACCGTCGTTTAGATTTTTATAGTAATAAAAATCATTTAGTTCAGTAAAAGAACATACACTACAATTAAAAACTGAATGTGACTGCTCAATGGAGCGTGCCGAACAACAGTTGCATCACAGATCAGATTTCGTTTCTCCAGTGAGGAGAGTGAGTCGAGCTGACTTACAAGAAGAGTGAGGTGAGACAGACAAAACAATCGTGGATGATTTAGTTTCGAAACGAGATGCAAAAGCGCCTGTTTGGCAATATTTTGGATTTTGAAAAGTCTGTTGACTTTTGCCGTTTATCTAAGGTGATTTTGGAAGATTTTTTTTAAACATTCGTTTCTTATTTAATTGGTTCCACATTATTTGCTGATTTTTACTTTATTTGAACTTTGTGTCATTTACTTATTTGATTTGACATCAAGGTGTATGCCTTGCCTCCAAGCTAAATGTTCTATGTTTCTTATTTATTTGGTTATATATTATACGTTTACTTATTTCCAGTTTTGTATAGGCTACCTATTTAAACTTTATGTAAGTTATTTGTTATTTTATATTAGGCATAGCCTGCCCTATAGCATGGTGTATTTTTATTTGTTTTGTTAATAAAAGTTCTATGTTTTATATATAGGTTAAAGTGAGTTTGACGTTGTATTTTGTTGTTGCATTCAAGCAATTGACCTCGAACCAACTATTTAAAAGCGAAGGAAAACGAAGAAAAGGGGGAAAATTCAAACGAACTAAAAACGAACAATTGCTTTACTCTGAATTGCCGCTATTTGAAAGTGAAAGTAAAATGCGCACGCCGCTTTTACAAGCTATTTAAAAGCGAAGGAAAACGAAGAAAAGGGGGAAAATTCAAACGAACTAAAAACGAACAATTGCTTTACTCTGAATTGCCGCTATTTGAAAGTGAAAGTAAAATGCGCACGCCGCTTTTACAAGCTATTTAAAAGCGAAGGAAAACGAAGAAAAGGGGGAAAATTCAAACGAACTAAAAACGAACAATTGCTTTACTCTGAATTGCCGCTATTTGAAAGTGAAAGTAAAATGCGCACGCCGCTTTTACAAGCTATTTAAAAGCGAAGGAAATCAAGGAAAAGAGGGAACACCCCCGCCCGCGGTGATACTGATATTACCAGTGTTGTCACACGTCGATTAACCGGTGGGAAAACTTCCTCACCGTCACAACCCTAGATCGCACAGGAATTTTTTGTCAATAAAGATACCATTCTACATTTCATGTGAATGGGCATCCTACTTTACAAGCGTATATCATCAGCAATGCTTTGGTGATGGAATATTGACAACTAGCGACTAACAGGAAGGTTAACTTGACCCTGTTCAGCATCCTGGGTCAGCCTGACCCATTCAGCAGTTCTTGCCTTCTTAGACTGACAGTCCAGATGGCCAGCACACTTACTTTAGCTCACTGCTACCATGGAGACGTGTCAACATTAGGCAGAAGAGCTTTGGCAGAGTATGCTCATATTTAGAGAGCACTACATGCTCCACAAAAGAAAATGCTTCCAAATGATGAACAATCAAAATAACAGCCAAGTCAGAATCCACTTAAAGTGAGCATTTAAAGTGAAAGGCGACATAACTGCAGCATATGTTTTTAATTAACTAATATTGTTCAACTTATCTTGATAGTTATTATATCATGGTGTAATGTGGCTCCCAAGTGTGATATTCTTTAATGTCAGTCTATTTTTTTCAACCTATTTAATTTGCCAGGCAAAAATAGCAGACTATTAAGTGTTCAGTGTTTATGCTAAGGATTGTTTTACTGTGGTTTATGGATTTTTTTCCTCATGTTATGTGCAGACAGCCGAATGAGACATGCAGTCTGCAATGCAGCTGCTGGACCTGAGGAACAATCAGGACATGGACCCACTGACCTGCTTCCCAATTCAGGACACGCGGCCTTAAACACAATTAACCACGCAGGTAGGAAACACACAGTGTGTTAAGAATGGGTGGCAAAGACATTAACCGTCTATCTCAGGGGTGGCGAACGTCGGTCCTGGAGAGCCGCAGCCCTGCAGAGTTTTGCTTCAACCCTAATCAAACACACCTGAACAAGCTAATCAAGGTCTGAATGGTTTCTAGGAAGCTACAGGCAGGTGAGTTTTAATTAGGGTTGGAGCTGAACGCTGCAGGGCTGCGGCTCTCCAGGACCGGAGTTCGCCACCGCTGGTCTATCTTGTTATTAAATTCAGAATGTCCGATGATTATTCACTTTTTTTCAAGTATAGAATCTCTTTTGTATTTAAACTGATATATGATTATCCTGTCCCCATCATACAGATCTAAACACCCATCTCCATATATCTGAGGGTTCCCCTCCCTTAACCAATGGCAGTCATGTTCCTGGACCCCAGCAGCCTCCAGCACAGCCTGGAATAGTGGCCAATGGTCCTGGAAGGCCCACAGTAATAGGTAATCCTGCCCTCCAGCAGTCACTAAGAGCTTTCACACCGCGTAGTTCTAGGAACTAGCCAGCAGTGTCGTTCCCAGAGAACCAATTTCTTCCTTGGGCCGTTTTCCAGGAACCCTGAAGCTGCCTGCCACAACGTTTTTATTTGTGGCATTTACAAACATCAACAACCGGTGAATGGAGGACGCCGTGTTCAGAGCTGTTTTTGTTGTGTGTCATGGGTTTCGTAGTAGTGGAGATTAAATGTAAATGCACAATTTATGCGATTGAAAGAGCATGAAAATCTGACTAAATCTCCTATGACAACCTGTAGTGTTATCATCAAGGCTGAGAAAAGAACACAATGCTGCAGACAACAGGTAAACATGGTTTTCCATGTTCGTGGAGTAAATATTTTTACATGGCTTTTTAAAAATGACGGATAGCCTGTGTTTCGTGCACATTTGGCCAATCAGCGTACACTTATGTCACTGGGTACTAGTTCCAATAGAACTAGTTTTAGACCCTACTCTGAAATAGGAGCTAAATTAGTTCCCCCAACTGGAATTCCTAGAACTAAAACCATTTCTAGTTCCTGCGGTGCGAACACGCCAAAAAGCAAGAATTTCAGCCAAGAGTTCTAGGAACTATGAAAAGGTTCCTCCGGTGCGAAAGTGCCTACTATTCACTCAGTGTTTATATTTCAAGCTTGGATCAGAGAAAAAGGAAACCTCAATTTTACAGGGGCTGTCCCTAAACGAATCCCCCCTCTAGACTTCACACCTCCAGTGAAAGAGAGCATCCCTTTTGAAATGTTTAAATGCTTTAAAAAGAGGCAGCTGTATTGTCTAGGCCCTTTCCTCCTCCTCTTTTGTTGTTGGTGTCTGTCATTATTTAGCATTTGGGGCTGTAAAAGATCCCTCTCTTTTCTTTCAGCACTCTCTGACTATCACCTCCATAAAGTGCTGCTGTAAAGTCTCTTCCCTTCTCTCTCCTGCTCTCTGTCTGCATTGTAAAATGTGAGACTTCCTTCCTGATGCTTTGGTTTTCATTAGGACTTAACACATCTCCCCTTCTTTTCTGTTTCTCTTTGCATATCAAGGGACACATGTGCTCACGTTTACAGTCTGGTTAATGTATAACATAATAATCACTTCCTATGACACCAAAACCTGCTTTTAAAGTGAACTTACATTCTATTGTTTTTGGATTTACAATTACATAAGAAAAAAGAAAAGTTTGGCAGGGTAAACTTTGAGCTTGGTAAAGACTCTAAGTTTTACAATGTTATATAACAGAATGGATGAATGTTCTCTGCAACTTTTCTGTTAATCCTATTGACCAGTTGTGCTACTTTTCAAGGCTCCATGGCAAATTCTGGGCCTCCCAAAAAGAGGCACAAGGGATGGTCCCCAGAATCCTCTGCTCCTACAGAAGTCACCCCCAGACCTGCTCCCACCAGCACAACCAATGGCACTAAGTCAGGTAGACACTCATCTCTCCATTGACGTACAAACCACTGTGCTCATTGTGTTGTGAACGAATCTGTCCTTCTTAATAAGGGTGCACGTAGGATTTAGTGACTTTGGAGGCTTAACCCAGAGTCATGTTGGGGGTTGGAGTGGGGGGGGGGTGATATTTCCTAAAGTTCACTGTAAGAGTATTAAAAGATCAGTGAACAGCAATATTTGGGTTTCATTCAGACACAGTATTTTGGCTTCTACATTTTCAGCATATTATTCACCAGGGATACTGTTAGATATATATTTTTTTTCATTAAATTAGCAATTAGAGCTGATATAGATATGATATAATACATTATGCAGCATTAGGAGGCCTTATGGCTAGAGAAAAAAAAAGCATTTGAGGTTATAACCCGAAACCCCAGGGCTATGTACACCCCTGTATCTGAGTGCCAAAAATATGATGTGATCTGACCACAGCACACGTTCTGCCAGAGTGGTGGTTACAGCGGTGGACAGTAACGGAGTAGTTTTACTTCGTTACTGTACTTAAGTACATTTTTCAAGTATCGGAGTAGTTTTATTTTGAGTAACTTTTACTTTTACTTCACTACATTCCAAAGCATAAGATCGTACTTTTTACTTCACTACATTTCATAAAACACATCGTTACTCCTTATAATATATCACGTGCTCCGAGACGAAGAAGCGGTGTCTGATTCAAGAACGAACTGATTCTTTTCAATGAACCTTTTAAATCGGTTCGCAAATCGCACCAAACGATTCATTCACGAATTAGAATGAACCGATTGCAGCTGTTCTCGAGCCGACAACTCACTGATTCAAATGAACCGTTTAGTGCGAATCTCCAGTGAACTGAATTCAAAGGAACCGAGAGATCTTGTGAGCGCGCGCGCGACTGATGCTGCTAAAAGTAAGTTACTAATGTCGAATTTTAGGATTAATTATTGTATCTGAAAATCATATTTAGGTCACAACTGTCAGTTGTTTGTGAACTAAATCTGCTGTAAAGGGTGATCTGTTTAAGCCCACTGAAATACTTGAATGCATGCACATCAACATCAGTGTCGCTATGTTTTAGGTAAAAAAAACTAAACATTAAAATAACTAATGCACGTTCATCTTCCCCGCTGCCGTAACGTTAACAGTTTTATTAAAATGCTACGCATTTAGCCCTATGTGACGTCTGTTTTTATATTGTTTATCAACAGTATACATTTTTATATTGTTAGAGTAGACAGATATGAATGTTTATTCATAACCATACTGAAAATAAGTAAATATTGTTAGCTGATGCTAACTGTCTAACTAACAAGCTTGCTGATGCTAAGTTGAGGTAATTTTTAGATATAAAGTCCAAATATTTGTATTCAACCACCTAGAGAAAATAAAGAATGTGATGTTCAGAACATGGTAACTACAGTAATTATCAAAGTGGGAAGTGATGCCCTCTGGGGGCATTTGGCCAGGGGTGTTTTTACACCACATCCATGGTTTGAGAAGAAAAAAATCATTATGAAAATATAATTATATTTTCCTTAAAATGTTCTTCCTAACTTCAGGCCTTATTCTCATGTCACATATAACTGTGATGTTCTGCAAAACAACAAGCTTTAAAACACTTTTTTCTTACTTGTGAAAATCAGATGGTCAAATCAGTTTTCTCTCAGGTACACCGCAGTGTAAGCTTCATAGTGAACATTACTACATCACTCTCGTCAACTTGTCCATATCAACAACAAAAATATATCTTGACTCCAAAATAGTGGTTATTTTGGGAAAATCCCAGGTATTTTGAGCAGTAGGATTATAAAAAATATGTGCTAATATACAGTGAGCCTACATAAAATTGCAAAATAAATTAGACACAATTAACCACGCAGGTAGGAAACACACAGTGTGTTAAGAATGGGTGGCAAAGACATTAATAATTAATAAGACTCATCAGGACTTATAATAGCAAGAGGGTTTCAGAGTATTGCATAAGACAGTGGTTCCCAACCTTTTGCCCAACATACTTATTTGTTAATGTCAAATTGATATGAAAAGTGTGCCTCTTGCAAACTTTGACGCACTCCAGGTTAGGAATCACTGAAATAAGAGATGTAGTATTGTGATTGCTTTTGGGGACGGCGGTTATTAAGAATGTGTGTGTGTGTGTGTGTGTTTGCTCTTAGGCTACTTTCTAATATATCGGCTATAATAATGTAAGTGTGGATGTGTTTGTCCTCAGCGGATAGTGGGGCATCTGGGTGTTTGTCTATGGGGTCCTCGCCGCACCTTGCACCTGGGGAGTCTGTCACAGTGCCTGATCACCTGCTCCAGACTTGTGGATTACGACCGGTCATTTTTAAAGGTAAAAACTCAACATTGTTTTGTTTTTGCTTTCTGTTTTTCACCAATGACAAAGATATGTACATTTCAGACTCCTATTTACAATAATGCCAGTTTCTGTAATGAATATTTACAAAATTACATTGCAAAATAAAAATTAATTACACGTTGTGTGCTTTAAATAGTGAAAATGTTTATAGATTTTTAGAAATAACAAAAAAATATATAGGATCAACCTAGACACGTAAACAATTTTTTGTTTTCTGTGGGTTGTATCTGTTTTGTCTACCGTGAAACGTGAAATGTATCCGATAGTGGTTCCCACCACTTTATCTTGGGCCAGCTGTTCAGCTAGACCGTGTTTGTGTGTGTGCTTTTGTCTGTAGGACACGGGACACTGCCACATTTGTGTGGGAACCTCGGGGATGTGCTGGTGAGTGGCCTGCTGCAGAAATGCTATCGCAATTCCCAGAACCTCCCACGAGTCTACGAGCAGTACGGCACCGCTCCTATGCAGCCCATCTCCACAGAGATGCTCATCCTGCTGACTGTCTACTATCTAGTGCAGCTTGGTGAGAACAATAGTATTTCATGCACCTTCCACACAGTCTGTTTAAGCCCAACAGTAAACATTTTGATGCCAGAGACCTCGATTATGATGAGTCCCTTCTTAAAATATAAAGGCAGCTATATTTCCATGTAAAAAAGATCAATTTGTACTGTTTGAGCAAAATATAAAGCACAATATCATAAAGATGCCCTTTTGTCACAGTGCACTTAAACAAAAGCACTTGATTAAAATATTATATAATATTAACTTTTTAAACTTTGCTTTATGCACATTAATTCCTTGCATCAGTGTTGTTAAATATTAGATGAAAAATGTTCCTGTTTTATTTGAGTTAGTTGCCAAGGCAACAAAGTTTTTTGCTGTACTAAAATGACAAACTAAAACTGAAATAAATATAAATTAAAGCTAAACAGAAATAGAAAAAATGCTCAAAATTACTAAAACTAAACTACAACAAACTAAATGAAAAAAACTGAAAATATGCAAATAAAAGCTAATTCAAAATGAAAAACATCCTATAATATTATATAAATAATAATAAAATATCACTGGCTTAAAGTTAAAAACGACAGCGATCAGAATAATAAAGTAATTGTGATTAATATAATGATTTATTTAGAAAGAAAAGCAAAGCAGTAAAAATATTTAAATTCGGTGTTAAACATTTTCACATTAAACATATTTAAAATCTGACGTTTAACACTTTAACCATAACACTGTTAAAAAAAAACAGATTAATTTGATTAATCTAAAAAATTTCATCTTCATTTGATACAGGAACTATTCGAGACGTTCATGCCAGACTGAGGAGAGAGGTTTTGTAATAATGTAAAATATGTGAAAAATAATGTGTTTTTTGAACAACCGTTAAATGTAAGATTAAAAACTACAGCTGTCAACATAATAAAATTGTGATTAATCTCACCATTTTTTTAAATTATAACAACGCAGTAATAATATAAAAATTTGGTAAATGTGCTAAAAATTATAGCATTATACATATTTCATATCTAAATTATATCACTTTAGCTTTGACAATGCTAAAAAACTTTTTTATTATGATTTATTTACACAAAATATTATACATTTATGGTTTTCAGTCTGTATGGTTTATCTGTATTGCCCATAATTTTAATAACCATATGCAATAATCATGTAGATCTGAAATTAAATTAAACTGAAATGTTATTTTCATTTTACAATATCCACGTTATCACACAGGGAAGCACCAGACTCGTGCTTTAGCTGAGAGTCTTCTCTCTCCCAATGATTGTGTGAGAGAGATTGTCCATGAACTGTCTTCTGGGATGGCAGCAGAGTTGGGATCCTATTTCAGTTCTCTGGGTCCAGGTAAGGCTTCTGGTTTAATACATGGATCTCACTGCTGCAGTTTCCCCATACAGAGTTTAAGTGCATTTCTATACCACTTATCAGATGGAGATGTGGAGGCCTTGCTGGAGAAAGCCAGTCCTGAGAACAATGTCCAGTATTCTAGCATAGAACCATCAGGAGACAGTCCTAAAGCCAAGTGTGCGGGTGAGAATGACTTGTGCTTGAAAGTATCCAAGTATGAAGTTAATGAGATATATACATTGAGCATAGGGTGTGTAAACACTTTGTATTTATGGCATCCAGCGCTTATCTACATTTATCTACTTCTATTTTTATTGCATTTCATATAATAAAAAATACTTAAGAGTGGTTTCCTAGAAATGTTTAAAGCTGCAGTCTGTAACATTTTGTGTTCAAAATTTACTAAATTTATATAATAAATCATCATGTATCATGAACACATTTTCCAAACCGTGTTTTTGGATTGTCCTGAATCACTACAGTACACCTATAATAAGTGTTTATATTCTGACTATTTTAGAGACTACCTTTGCCATAATCTAACACTCGCTTAAAGTTTAGCTTTCAGAAACACTAATAATTTAATAAGACTTAAATGTAAGATTAAAAACTACAGCTGTCAACATAATAAAATTGTGATTAATCTCACCATTTTTTTAAATTATAACAACGCAGTAATAATATAAAAATTTGGTAAATGTGCTAAAAATTATAGCATTAAACATATTTCATATCTAAATTATATCACTTTAGCTTTGACAATGCTAAAAAACTTTTTTATTATGATTTATTTACACAAAATATTATACATTTATGGTTTTCAGTCTGTATGGTTTATCTGTATTGCCCATAATTTTAATAACCATATGCAATAATCATGTAGATCTGAAATTAAATTAAACTGAAATGTTATTTTCATTTTACAATATCCACGTTATCACACAGGGAAGCACCAGACTCGTGCTTTAGCTGAGAGTCTTCTCTCTCCCAATGATTGTGTGAGAGAGATTGTCCATGAACTGTCTTCTGGGATGGCAGCAGAGTTGGGATCCTATTTCAGTTCTCTGGGTCCAGGTAAGGCTTCTGGTTTAATACATGGATCTCACTGCTGCAGTTTCCCCATACAGAGTTTAAGTGCATTTCTATACCACTTATCAGATGGAGATGTGGAGGCCTTGCTGGAGAAAGCCAGTCCTGAGAACAATGTCCAGTATTCTAGCATAGAACCATCAGGAGACAGTCCTAAAGCCAAGTGTGCGGGTGAGAATGACTTGTGCTTGAAAGTATCCAAGTATGAAGTTAATGAGATATATACATTGAGCATAGGGTGTGTAAACACTTTGTATTTATCAATAGAATATTATGTTGAGTGGCACGAGATTCGGCCCATACAGCTTGCCGTGGCTAGGAAGCTGCTCTCGCATGTTTGCGCCATCGCTGATTCCAGCACACAGAACCTGGACCTCGGTTCCTTCGACAAGGTTGAGTTCTTAATCTGCGTTCCACCTTCAGAGGTCACTTTTCATCAAGTCGTCCTTCACCTGTGGAACTCAGGTAGAGTACTGCTACTCAATACCCATGAGACTCTACTGCACCCTTAAACCCCATTCACACCAAGAACGATAACTATAAAGACAACGATATTAACGTCCACACCAGCGAACGATATCGTCTGTTTATTCCAAGCGCACACTCGTCTGCCGCTTTAAATTCTCAAGCTCGGACAGATTGGCTGTCAATTTTATCATTCATCAGCTGGAAAAAATCGTTCTGAAAGTGACTACAACGATATCGTTTCTCTGCGCCTTTATCGTTATAGTTGTGGTGTGGACTCTGCTATTCTTTAATACTGAGAACGATTTTTAGAACTTCCTAATGCTCCACGTGACTTCGTTCCCCTTCACCTTGCAGACTCAGTACACACGAATCAGCCCTTACAATGAAATCCACTGGCCTTCTGGATTCAACAATGTAAGAATACCACATACTACTGACTATTTAAACCAGCTCCTGGAAACTGAAACTTTGAAATCACCCATAGCGGTTAACCATGACTAATGATTTAACATTTTGTCCATCTGTTTTTGAATCACTACAGTACACCTATAATAAGTGTTTATATTCGGACTATTTTAGACTGGTTCGGGTAGGTATCGCTGCGGAGTAACCCGGTACCTGCATGATTTGTCAATGACATAAACAGAGAGAAGTAGCTCCAGCTACAGTGTTCTTCCGCAAGACGCACACAGTTCTGTTTGTTAACCGCTAGAATGCCAAAAGTTACGGACTGCAGCTTTAATGAATCGTTTACATAAATTAGCAAGTTTTAAAAGGCCCATCTCTATTTTGTTAGTTTGTCCAAATAATGGTTTTGGGAAATTGTGAAAATGCAAACTGTTTTTGCATACCTAGGATGTGGATCTTTATCACGAGAAGACAAAGTACTTTGGTGTATCCGAGCTGCTGGAGACGACACGCTCTGGAAGTGGCCTTCCTCTGCTACGATATGACAGTTCATTTGAGAGCATGGCTGCTGCTTTGGAAGATAGGTTTGTTTTCAGTAAATCAGCATTTCTGAAGGATCCCAAACTTTGGCCTTGTTTCTTCTCTTTGTATGATGTTTTAGCAGCTTGACAAATCTCCTCACGTCGTCTCAGGTTCCCAAAACTACACAGTGCAGTGATTCGCACTCACGTGCTGATCCAGCATTACTCTCTGGCCCTGATGGTAACAGCAGGCGGCCAGGCTTTACAGGCTCTGCAGAAGCACATCTCAGTGGAGACGCTGGAGATGGTGCAGTGCCTTCTCAACACATCCCAGCGGTGTCCTAGCCGTCACGGTCACATGCTGCTCCTGAGGATCCCCTCCCCAGCTCTCGCTGCCTTCGCTCACCAGCGCCTCTGCCATGTCCGCAACAGACTCGGCCTTCACAAGCAGTTTGAGGTCATCCTGGGGGATCCATGCTCTGCTCTCACTGTAGGAAAACACTTCTTGGACCAACTGAGGGTATTTAATTTTAATCTATTAGTTTTTTTTATTAAAATAAATTACATTTATTCTTGTGTCCATATTCTTCTTTATATCCCTAAAGCGTAAATCCTTTTGCTTTTTATATGACTCCAGGTATGGCTGAAAATATTGGACCCAGACTGGGCTCCTCGGACATATCTAGAGCTGGAGGCTTTACCTTGTATCCTCATCTTAACCGGCATGGATCCACTTGGAGAGTCTTTACCCAGGTAAAACACTCACAGGAACTAAGTTTTTGATTTGAATAAGCTTGATGCAGAATGCTTGTTAAATTTTAGACAACATTACATGCATCCAGCGCTTATCTACATTTATCTACTTCTATTTTTATTGCATTTCATATAATAAAAAATACTTAAGAGTGGTTTCCTAGAAATGTTTAAAGCTGCAGTCTGTAACTTTTTGTGTTCAAAATTTACTAAATTTATATAATGAATCATCATGTATCATGAACACATTTTCCAAACCGTGTTTTTGGATTGTCCTGAATCACTACAGTACACCTATAATAAGTGTTTATATTCTGACTATTTTAGACTGGTTCGGGTAGGTATCGCTGCGGAGTAGCCCGGTACCTGCATGATTTGTCATAGACATAAACAGAGAGAAGTAGCTCCGGCTACAGTGTTCTTCCGTAAGACGCACGCAGTTCTGTTTATTAACCGCTAGAGTGCCAAAAGTTACGGACTGCAGCTTTAATGAATCGTTTACATAAATTAGCAAGCTTTAAAAGGCCCATTTCTATTTTGTTAGTTTGTCCAAATAATGGTTTTGGGAAATTGTACAGGTCTGCAAGACCTCAGAAAAATAGTTACCTGTGGCAATTTGACTCAAATATTTTATTTTATTTTATTTTTTTATTCATTTTTTTATTTTATTTTTTTTAGAGGTTATTTGACAGAGTTTTATTACATTCAAAATGTCAAGCAAGTTTTTTAGTCTATTTCAATACCACTGTTAACCTATGCATATCTATATGCAATTCTTGAAAAGTCATAGTAATAATAAATTTTTTAATGTTTTTATATAATATTATAAAATATTTATAAATGTCTGTGTAATATACAAAATTGCTCTTATGCAGAGCAATAGTGTATAGTAAAACATGCTTGCAAGCTTTGGTGGTTCAATTTTTTTAAAGTTCAATTTTTAATGGATCATTCAAAACGATTCACAAATTAATATGAATGGTTCATTAGTAAATCAGTCTGAATCCAAATGAATCATTATTCATTTATTTAATAATCACAAATGATTATAGATGGAAAATTCATGGAAATTCTTTGGTCAAATAGAATCTTAGCAAAAGACTAGATTTTAAACCAACAGCTTTACTTTCATGGTTTATACTCAGGCTTACCGTGTTGTTCCTCTGTCCTCAGATCTCTGAAGTACTGTGACCTGCGTGTTATCAGCTGCTGGTCTCTGCAGCGCACCACTCTCGAGCAGGAGCTGGGATTGGCCACGTACCTGCTGAAGACAAAACAAGATGGCCAGCACGGGCCACAGCCACGCTGTGACCTGTCTGAGAGTGACCCTGAAAAACTGAGCAGCACTGACAACGAGGACGAGGAGGTTGTAGTGGATGGTCAGTATTGCAAAACCTGAAAACATGAAGTATTTACTAAACTGAGAATATACCATTTTGTTTTAAATATATATGAAATGAGTGGGTATATGTAAACGCTAAATTGGACGGACTTTGATGTGGTCAAGGCACACCACAACTGCCCCAAACCTTCAGATAGTCAGAGAAAAAGACTATCAAGCTATTAGTCAGCTCAGCCTCATGCCATCTGTGTTTTAACACAGTCTTCAACACAGCTTTTGGGAGGAAGAGGATTCTCTCCCGAGACTCCAGCATCTCCTCGTTATCCTTCAACACCTCATGTAAGGAAGTAAGAGGAAATGGAGATTAACCACCTCAATGTCTGCATGTTCACATAGGTAGAACTGTTTCATCCTTTGGAGACATTTCCAAAAACCCAAACCACAATGAATCAATAAATATCAGAATCCGTAATTGTTTAAAATTGACTTTAAATTCAAATTAAGGATAACTTTCAACCAGCTTTGTATTGTTTCATTGCCTGTACAGTAGTATATGTAAATGAACTATGTATGTTCTTTCTCCACGTTACCTGCCCCAGATGAGCATGTTTATTTGTCGGCAGAAGTTGTCCTTTAATTGTAACACTGGGTTGTTTGCTAAAATCATGCCTAACAAAAGTGCTTGTAATTCTTGGAGCAAATGTAAGTTGTAGCATCATTCTTTCAATTTCAAACCAATGTTTTCTGTTTATAACTGATATACTGATTAAATAAAACTGATATCCTGAGTGGAATGCCTAAATTTGCTTTGTGAAACACGTCTGTTTTGGGATTTGGGACAGCTTTTTTTTCGGAAAGATTCCTGAAATTGGTGAATTCAAAGGTCTTACACACTTACATACTTCTCTCGCACTGACCTTATCTCTCTGGTGGTCTATAGTAAACAACGATCTCCCTAAACTGGGTAACCAGGCCTCCCCAGCTGGCTCTCAGCACCCTCAGTCTGACTGGACTCCTTTGGATCCAGACAAGCAGCCCAACCAGAGGCGGCAGTCCAAATCCACCTCATCCAGCTCCTCGTCCACACGGGCCTCACCTCTACGGCAGAGCTGCTCCTGGGCACGCAATCTCAGCCGCCCACCTGTGGTGCTGCTCCCTAAAACCGTCTACGACCTCATCACCACAGTGGATTCCAGTGGCCTGCCCAAGTCCACTTCCTTCCTCCCACACTCTTCGGTAGAGTGGGTCAGCTCCTTTAGACCTCTCCTCAGCAAAATGATGACCTGCACCGAGCAGTCGCTGTACTATCGCCAGTGGACAGTCCCCAAACCCCACCACATGGACAGCAGTAACCGAGCTGAAGGACGCACCGATAACTTCCACCCACGAAAGCTGCTGCTAAGTGGGCCACCACAGGTAAACGAGCATCTGAAACACTGGATGCTACTGTCAGTATTTGGCTGGTGGGTTAAAATGAAATTTGTTGTGTGTGTACAGGTGGGGAAGACTGGGGCATATCTGCAGTTTCTGGGTATTCTCTCTCGCATGCTGATCAGGCTGATGGAGGTGGACATCTATGATGAGGAGGACATCAACTGCAGTAAGTATTATACCACAAATGTTGTAATATGATGTCATATGTTAACACTTTAGTTTAGGCACCAATTCTTACTGCTAGATAGTTGCTTATTAGCATGCATTTTACTAGCACATTGGCTGTTTATTAGTTCTTATAAAGCACATATTAATGCCTTATTCTGCATGACCTTATTCAGTTTAGATCCCTTAATCCTACCCCATACCTAAACTACCTTATTATTAATAAGCAGCAAATTAGGAATTTGTTGAGCCAAACGTTGTAGTTAATAGTGACAGCTGGTCCCCAAACTAAAGTGTTAGCTGATATATAATACGTCTAAAATGTAAAAATATTCAGTCCATTAAATTGACTGCATGTATCGATCTTCTGTTGGTCACATGTCTTCACGTGATACAAATTCACAGGTCAGAGTTTACCAAACTTGAACTTTGGAATTCAGCGAAATTCGTGTGAGCTTGACTTTACTGTCTTCCCGTTTCCTTTGCACATTTGCATACATATGAATGGAAGCTAATGGAGCAAAAAGTGTAGTGATCAGCCCTTTAGAAATCACATTATTAGTTTGGGAATCAATTTAATTGCACTGTAGAGTCTTGATTCGCTGAAAAGAACCGACTCATAAGATATGTTCAGGAATCATGCTACACAAGTGCTGTATCAGCGAAATGATTAATACTTTTTTCTCCAGATTGCGAGAAAGATTTGGTGCGATATCATCAGCCCATTGCATTGTGGCCCAATACAGACACTGTACAAGGGATGCCCTTTGATTACACCATCCATGATCCTAAATACAAGGACATCAGCACTGTCTACTCGCCAGACTTCACTCCAAATTCAAATGGTGAGACCATCAAGATTATCACATATGGTTTAGTTGAGCCCTACTATAGTTCTGGCTATTTTAATAGGCTAGTATCATTGAAATTGTTTGTTTTTTCTTTAATGCTTTAGATGGAAACTCCAGAAGGCAGGAAGATGTGTATCTACACAGGCGAACGGCACGGATAAAACTCTCTAAATATGCAGCTTACAACACATACCATCATTGTGAGCAGTGTCACCAGTATATGGGTTTCAATCCACAGTATCAGGTGAGCCCTAATACAGTTTATTACACAGCGCTCTTGAATACTTGAATCTGACTGGACAATGGTAGCATTGAGATTCTGATCCATAGACTAATCTATATTATTATGTGTGTGTTTTGGTCTGCCTGTATTTTGGGACGTTGATTATCTGTTATTAGCTGTACGAGTCCACCCTGCATGCCTTTACCTTCTCTCATCTTCTACTGGGAGAGGAAATCCAGCTCTACTTCATCATTCCCAAATCCAAGGAGCATCACTTCTCCTTCAGCCAATCAGGAGGCCAGTTGGAGAGCATGAGACTGCCCCTCACTTCCGACTGGGTACAAACCAGCAGTCAACTAGTAGAGGCCAAATGTGCCATGAGTACATGATGGCAATTATATGTTAACTTATTAGTTTCAATATACAGCTAATGTCTTCTAAAAGGGTTTATTTTACTAAGCTTGACAACTGAAGCTAGATTTGATGTTTGCAGAATCCTGATGCCATCAAAAGCCCAATATTCACGCCCACCACTGGTCGCCATGAGCACGGCTTGTTTAATCTGTATCATGCAATGGAAGGAGCCACCCACCTGCACATTCTAGTGATTAAAGAGTATGAGATGGCCGTCTACAAGAAATACTGGCCCAACCATATAATGCTTGTCCTACCCACTATCTTCAATGGAGCTGGAATAGGTAACCATCAGGAGATTATCATATTGATCTATTGATGTTGATGTCAGTGAGGACTTTAATAAAGTAGCCTTCTCTCCCACGTACTCAGGAGCAGCTCATTTTCTGATTAAAGAGCTGTCTTATCATAACCTGGAGTTAGAGCGGAGCCGGAGAGTGGAGCATGGCAGTCGGCCACAAGACGTCTGGCCCTTCATCGTCCTCGCAGACGATTCTTGTGTAATGTGGAACAGTGTTGATGTTGATCCAAAAAGGTGCTTAATTTTGTGATTTAATTTATTTACACTTTTGTTTTCAAATTATTGATATATTTACTTTTATTTATTTTTATTTGATTTATTTTTTAGCTAAAAATTAATTTTTGTGAGTATTATTATTATTATTATTAACTACAGTTTTTAACTACATCTTCTAAAAAGGTGCCAATCTAAAAAGGTGCGTTGACACTTAAATTAAAATAAAACAAATTATTTAAAATGTTTTTTTTAGCTAGAAATTACTCCTTTGTGAGTATAATTTCTATTATTATGAATATTATTATTTATACATTAAAAAAACTAAATTAACTACAAAATTAAAAATAAACTGAAAAATAAATGTATCCGTTCATCATAAAAGACTGACATTGGTCAGGAAATATAGGAACAGAATTTTAATATTGGTCCATCACTGTTTGTTTTTGACCTTCTGTTTTAAGTAATGTATTTCTCTGTTTTTCAGCGGTACTGCAGGGACAGAAAGAAATGTGTCCTTGAAACAGGTTCTTCAGCACATGGAGTCTATTCCAGATATTACTCAATATGGCTTATGCGGGTTGAGGAAGTGGTCCAGTCGTGGAGATGGGGCCGGACGGCAAAAAGAGCCCTTCTCGCGTGGACACCTACATGACTTCCTGCTACTTAATGTGGACCTCACACAGAATGTGCAGTACAACCAGAACCGGTGAGTTTTTAGAAAGACCAGCTACTTTGGTTGTTTTTTCCTCCATTATTGTCCAAATATTCACATCTCACTCTCTCCACAATAGTTTCACATGTGATGATGTGGACTTCAACCTGCGTGCCCACAGTGCAGGCCTCCTCATCTGCAGGTTTAACAACTTCAGCGTGATGAAGAAGCAGATCGCCATTGGTGGATATGGGACCTTCATCATCAAGACTAAGGCAAGTTTCTAACCAACGTCCAAAACGGTATTGATGTTTTACTCTATAGATCTGTAAAAACAATCATATTCCATGCAACTACTAAAATAATGGTTCTTGTGAATTCTCCACAGGTGACCGATGTCCCCACCACAATCCAGCCTACTCAGTACATCTGTGCTCCAGACAGCAAGCACCTGTTCCTGGCCACACCAGCTCAGCTACTGCTGGAGAAATACCTCCAGCACACCAGCCATCGCCTCTTCCCCCTCAGCGCCCAAAACTACAGCCACCCAGTCCTCTCTGTCGACTGCTACCTGAACCTCGGCCCAGAGGTACTTCAACAGACTATTAATACCTTAAAAAATTCCATAGTAGACTGATGTAGGGCTGGACAATTAATTGAAATAAAACTGAAATCTGAATATTACTTTGCTATTATCAAATTGCAAATGCTGCCATTTAATTAAATAGATGCATTGCGTGTTTCAGAGAATCACAAAACTCCATCTCTGCATGTGCTGGTATGGATGGCTTGTAATGTGCATTTGGGAAAGCAATGTGGCAAATAAACCCACTGTTGTCAACAAAAGTGAAGCCGTTTAAGCAGTTTTCTGCCAAAATAAAAGCTTGTTGGTTTAATGTTTGAAAATGAAGAATTAGGACTATAATTTTTGTTGTTGTATTGTAAAATAAAATGATAACTTTTCTACTTAATTTGTTTGTTTTTTACTGTGAAATATTGCAATAGTAACATTTCTTTTATTTACTATTTTTATTTTGTATTATTATTATTTCATATTGATTTTGGGCTAAATTGTGCAGCCCTACAAACAAGCACTACACACTTGGTAGTTATTGTTTTATTTTTAATTTATGTATTTTTACTTTTTTCTTTTAATTGCATTTGAAATCATAGTCACAGTTTATTTAATTAATTAATGTATTTATTTATTTGTGTGTGTGTGTGTTTTGGGTTTTTAAAGGAACCTTAAAGTGTACCTGTTGTATCGCTACTGTGTGACCTATCCTCCATAGTTTCACATTATTCTAAATAGTTTTTTTGTTGTGTTGTCTGTTCCCAGGTGACTGTTTGTTTTGTCAGCTCCAGACCTCACTCCATTAACTTCAGCACTACTGGTCTGCTCTTCAGTGGCCTCCTCTTATACTTCTGTGATTCCTTTGTGACTCCTGGATTCCTTAAAAAGTTCCAGTTCCTGAAAGGTAAAGACCAGGCAGATAAATAATATATCCATCTATCTGTCTGTCCATTTAACACATGAAAACTTTTTTGCTCCAGGAGCGACTCTGTGTGTGATCTGTCCTAACCGCAGTTCTTTTAATTGCATTTGAAATCATAGTCACAGTTTATTTAATTAATTAATGTATTTATTTATTTGTGTGTGTATGTGTTTTGGGTTTTTAAAGGAACCTTAAAGTGTACCTGTTGTATCGCTACTGTGTGACCTATCCTCCATAGTTTCACATTATTCTAAATAGTTTTTTTGTTGTGTTGTCTGTTCCCAGGTGACTGTTTGTTTTGTCAGCTCCAGACCTCACTCCATTAACTTCAGCACTACTGGTCTGCTCTTCAGTGGCCTCCTCTTATACTTCTGTGATTCCTTTGTGACTCCTGGATTCCTTAAAAAGTTCCAGTTCCTGAAAGGTAAAGACCAGGGAGATAAATAATATATCCATCTATCTGTCTGTCCATTTAACACATGAAAACTTTTTTGCTCCAGGAGCGACTCTGTGTGTGATCTGTCCTAACCGCAGCTCTCTACGTCAGACTGTAGTTCGGCTGGAACTGGAGGAGGAGTGGAGGTTTCGTCTCAGCGATGAGTTTCAGACCGCCAACGCCAAAGAGGACCAGCCTCTCTTTTTCCTCACAGGAAAACACATATGACTCTCAAAACCTGAAGACTCAATCACAGCTGTCCTGTCTGTATATAACATTAGCTCTGTATATAATGCACAGGATGTGCTGTAAATTTACTGCCTGCTTGCTGTTGTTGTTTTTTTCTCTCTCTCTCTTTTTAAGATCATACAAAAAAAATGTCGAAGATTATTTCATTGCATATGGATGCACCATCAAAACCGGATTTACTCACATCTTTGTTTAAAATGTATTTATTTACTGTGACCTTTCTGTTTTTATCTTTCTGTCTTTTATTGTTTGGTCTTTTAATCGTTTTTTCTGTCACAGCCGAATCTTTTAACGTAAGCTTAATGCACAGTTATGAAGTGTTAAAAGAACAGATTGAAGTATTTTGTAGAAAAGAGTATTTTTGTAGCTGTGTTTGGCGTGTTCTGTGATGAGTGTGGATGAGGGCGTTCTGTCATTAAAGTACTTCTGTATCTCTACAGTCTCCGCTGTACCACTGTATGAACACTAGAGGGCAGATCAATCACATTTTTACCGCCTGAAGGACAGTATAAATCTATTCAACAATCTATCTGCTATATATTTTATTAAAGAAAACCTCTTGGTCTCAGTCCATAAAGACATATTTGAAAATTAACTTTTAGTATAAGTAAGTAAGTAAATGTTATTTATATAGCACATTTCAACATAGCAAAGCTATGTAAAATCAAATTAAAAGAGAAAAGGAAACAGAAAAAAATCTAATAAAAAGACAGACAATAACACAACAATCAAATTAAATTAAAATTCTAAGGAGAAATTATACGTTTTCAACCTCGATTTAAAAATGGTAATGGAAGGTGCAAGGCAGCAGTCTAGAGGCAATTGGTTCCACAGACGGGGTGGGGGGGGGGGCAGTGACTGAAAAGGCTCTATTCAAGGCTCTGTCACCCTTAGTTTTCAAACGGGAACGAGGGACAGATAAAAGAGCCCTGTCAGTGTGCATATATAATTTAAAAAGAAGCGGTCCCAAAATAGAGCCCTGAGGTACTCCACTAGTAATTGGGGCAGATGATGAGGAAAACTTGCCTAGCTCCACAGAAAAAGACCTGTCTTTGAGATAGGAGCTGAACCATCGTAAGGCTGTGCCCCTGATACCGATCAGATGTTCTAAACAGCAAATAAGAACATTATGATTCACTGTATCAAAGGCAGCTGTAAGATCCAATAGAATCAATACAGCATTTTTACCGGCATCAACTGCAACCAAAATATCATTGAACACTTTAAGCAAAGCAGACTCCGTACTGTGATAAGCAGTGAAACCAGATTTAAAAGGTTCTAATAAATTAGCTGTATTTAAGAATGTGATCAGCTGTAATTGCACAAGTTTTAACTTTAACTTTATCTTAACTTTAAGATAACTTTGAGACAGGCCGAAAATTGTTAAAGCAACTTTCATCCAAACCTTGCTTCTTAAGCAAAGGCTGAACAACCGCATGCTTAAAGCAGTTCGGAACCACACCAGTGTCCAAAGATGAGTTAATCAACACTTGGACACTGGGGCCAATTACTGGAAAAGCTGCTTTTATGATCTCAGAAGGAACAACATCCAGTGAGGAGTTAGTAGACTTAATTTTGTTAACGAGATCGGAAAGTTCCATTAAAGAGACATGTTGAAAATGACTAAATGAAAATGGACTAGCAGGCGAGTTCAAAGACAGGTCTGAGAGCTGCGAAGTAAAAGATAAGCGAATGGCCCTCACTTGTGTCAGTATCAGTGCTGTAAGTAGACAAAGCTTTCAATACCTGCCACTTAACTGTTATTATTAATTTACTGTAATATCTGCCTTAATTACACTAATATTCAATTACTACTGATTTTCTTGTAGATGGAAATAACTGTTAGCTAAATTGGGCAGTGTTTCGATTTTTGATCTGTTATATTACACAGTAATTATAGAAAATGTGTTTTTTACAAGTTAAAAAAGTATAATGGTGGTAAAGATGCTGATGCTGATTGTTTTATTCGAGCTGAAGGTTATGATTTAATTGGCTCAGAAATCAAAAGTGCTCTTTATAATATTTACAATAATAGATTTTACGCATTGTGTGAGTAAACTGGTTGTTCCAAATGTTTTCAAAATAATGCTTGCAAATTTACTTTGCAGTTCACAAATATCAGTTGTTCGTGCCTCGACAAAATGAATTTATTAACAGTAATATTTTGATAAATTCAGTTTCTATGACAACACATCTTCTCAGCATCATACTCATACTCTGTAGGGCAGGATGGGAGCATTAATTACCTGCTTATCATACATAGCATGTACTCAAGGCATGTTATGTAACAGTTAACAGCATGTACCATTCATCATCCTGTTAATAAGGGATCAATGTGTCACTCAAAACGTTTACAGCAACCACAGCAGGTGTCATGTTTCTGTAGATCCTGGTTACGACCATCCACAAACATGACTGCAGCTTGCACTTAAATTCATCGGTGTCACCCGTAGGCCTACATATCTTTCACTCATAAATCATTTGGAAATTAATCCACGGTAGGTTACTGAGTACACTCAATCTTTGAGCTGAGCTTAACTGAAATATTACCCATCATACTTGAGGTATTCAACATTAAATACAGCATATTTGTGCTAGCCACTTTTCATTTTCTGCAATTCAAATGTTACACAATTTAGTCACTAGATACACAGTTTACTAAGAGCACACACACACACAGTCACTGTCATCTGTATGAATGTTTATGTCATCTTCTCTGAAGCAAGTGGAAACGGTGACTCGTGTTGCAAGTGTACATTCTGGCCATCTCTGGTGGGGTAAGGGTCAGTCAGCAACATCATAACCCGCCCCTCCTGAAATGACATGTGACATGATCTGACGGGTCCCTGGAACTATAACATGCACAGCTTAAAAATAACCGTATTACTATCAGGCTCACAGTTGTTGCAGCCTAACTGTAACTTAATGTCTTTTTAATAACTTTAACTTTTCAGTGTTAAAATATAAAAATCAATCATAATTATATATTTATTCTTAAAACTTTTACTTATAAATCAACATTTGTTTGTTGTATGAAAATAATTTACTTACACTTAATTTACTTACACAAACTACAACAATTTTGTGCCTAATAAAGTTTTTATTTCTTCAAATGTTAGTGTGAACAGTGAAGATCATGCTTCAAAAAAATAAATAATGATTTCAGGTGTAGTAATGTTTCATACTACAGTTCAATAAACGAGAAGTTAATACTTAGGTTTTTAATAATAAAAAACACTTCCAAACCAAGTCAAAGCAGAAATCAACTGTCGCCTGTCTCAGAGCAACACAGAATAGTTGCACTATTACATGAATGAATCAGTGTTTAGAAACGAATTGTTTTAATGAACGATTCAATGAATCCCCTCTCTCAGGGCGGGCCTGACCGCTTGAGGCTCTTCATGCCAGGCCTCTCAAGTTTCGCCTGTGAACACCATTCCAAGAACACACTTGGTAAAATTAGTATACGAAAACACCAAGCCCAGTATATAGCTCACTGCTCAGTTGTTAGCACAAGCATTGCATAAAGACTAGTCTCAGCTTTGTAGTAAAGGCTTATTTCATATACGCGAGTGGATAATGGAATCATGATAGCAGAGGACCAAGTGGAAGGATACAATGAGAGATTCAGCCCAAATGAGACGAGCTGGACATGGGTAATACACCATGATTTATCACTTTAATATTCAGTATGATGGACTAAAACACTGAAAAATGTCTGTCTGGGATAGATATTATAGAAACATAATTTAATTGGTTTATAGCTTTTCAAATAGCTTTAGTGTTTCATTGCATATTCTTAGTAATTTTGTGCTGATTGTGGCATGAATGACTGTTCTGAAATAGTTATTTTCAAATAAGGTTCTCATTTCAGGAATGAATTATTAGCATTTTATAACAAAAGTGTGTATAATATGCATGGATTTGAGAGAAATGTTCTAATGGACAGGACTAGAATTTTTTATGATTTGCATATTTATTATATTATGATGTTTATTAATTAGTCTGTAAATGGTGGCAGCTCGTGGGTTTTAAAATAGAGGCACACTAGCGTTCATTTTATTGGTCTGGGATCCCTGCCGATTATTATTATTATTATTTGCTTAACCACTTTAAAATGGCTTTTTGGTTGCTTTTAGTCAGAAAACGTAAAGAAAACGACACACATACAGCAAGTTTATATAATTTCACTTACCTGGCCTATCTCTTGAAGCAAACATCCATCCCTTCTTAAAAGTCTGTGTTAAAGAGAGCTGCCTGTTGCGTCATTTCATTAAAGGGATAGTTCACCCAAAAATGAAAATTTGATGTTTATCTGCTTACCCCCAGGTCATCCAAGATGTAGGTGACTTTGTTTCTTCAGTAGAACACAAACAAAGATTTTTAAGTCTCACTGCTGTAGCCTATTTCCAGCTTAGGCCGTTTTCCCTTTTTTTTTTAATTTGTATATGTACTGTTGAATGACAGCTTGGTAAATCTGTTGGCAATCAAATATTCAATATCACTACTCATCATAAGTACTTACATTATCAGCGCAGCGGCAGACGTTCAAACTAATATCACGTAATTTACGTCTCTGTGATGATTGGTTGATATCAGAAGGGAGGCTAGCCTCCCTAACAAGGTTTCTTTTCTCAACACTCCTCAGCACTGAAAGTGAACACTCGATGGTGATTGGCTATTTTTTTTTTTTACCAACGGAGGCACGAGAGCTCAGCTCTTCCCCGGCCTCCCCCTCCCCTTCTCGATCATTAGCGGATGTAATTACATCAGCAGATCCGGCACATTCACGATAGAAAAGCAACGCTTCACGTTATGGTATTACAACTGTGAAATTACAAACAAAAAAATACACATTCTGAGACATGAACTGAAATGAATTGTGAATTTTATTAACATTAAATCGTCCTCCTCCCATTTTCACCTCAAAATTATGGGGAAGCTATGCCTCCCCTGCCTCCCCCAACCAGCCTCCACTGAGCTGTTTTTTGTCACGGAATGCCAGGAGAAAACAAAGTTAGATCCAAGTGCAGTATGTTTATTAAAGTAACAAATAATCCAAAAACAGAACAAAAACTAGGCTAAAGGTAAATTCAAACCACAGGGAACAGAAAACACGACGTAACCTCAAACAATACTGCAGCAAAGACAGACAGTGTGAGCATGGTATAAGTAGTGATGAAATGATGAGTAAATTACCCACAGGTGATCATGATCAGAACAGAAACGACAAAGCAAAGGACTATGGGAATTAGAGTTCAAAACATGTAACAGTGAATGGGAAGCGCGCCCTCAAGTGGCCAGTCCAGGGCACCACAACCAGACACTGTGACACTTTTGGCACCTGCATTAATGCCCGTTAGGCTCAACTTGGGGACGGTCCATCGGCAGGGACACCATGAACTGCTTCTACAGCCTGTTATGTGACCTAGAACCAAAGAGCGTTGAGTGCATCACTGTGTCAGATTACACGGGCATTTCCAAATAGACTGACCAGGTTTGCGTTCAAC